TTGTTTTTTTAATTGCATTACAGAAAATAAAGAACTTTATCACAATATTCTAATTTTCTGAGACAGTCCTGTATGGTCTTATATGTGGTCTTGTATATGGTCTTGTATCTGGTCTTGTATGGTCTTGTATATGGTCTTGTATATGGTCTTGTATATGGTCTTGTATCTGGTCTTGTATATGGTCTTGTATATGGTCTTGTATATGGTCTTATATAATGGTCTTGTATATGGTCTTATATATGGTCTTGTATATGGTCTTGTATATGGTCTTGTATATGGTCTTATATATGGTCTTGTATATGGTCTTGTATATGGTCTTGTATATGGTCTTGTATATGGTCTTGTATATGGTCTTGTATATGGTCTTGTATATGGTCTTGTATATGGTCTTGTATATGGTCTTGTATATGGTCTTGTATATGGTCTTGTATATGGTCTTGTATATGGTCTTGTATATGGTCTTGTATATGGTCTTGTATCTGGTCTTGTATATGGTCTTATATATGGTCTTATATATGGTCTTGTATATGGTCTTGTATATGGTCTTATGCTAAATCAATAGAGAAACTGTGTGTTTGTGTGCAGGTGATAGAGTTTGGGGAGCTGGATAAAGCCACGGTGCGATTCCTGCGTCAGCTGCTCACCAAACTGCTCAAAGAAATGGAGCCTGAGGAGCTAGTCAGCGTATTTGGAAGGTGAGTTTCAGCGTGCAGCACTTAGTTATTAAGATTCAAGCATGTGAGTTCATGCAAAACACTGATGAATACAGCTTTCAGTCGGTGGCTGTGCTTAGTTGCAGCTTGGATTTGAGATGAATGCAAAAAACTGCTAATATGATGCTGTTTGTTTATGAATAATAACCATGATCAACATCTTATTCCAGCTTTATAGCATGCTTAAGCTGGAATAAGATGCATGCACTTCCTTCTCGTAGGTTAGGAGATGTAAGCATGTTAGAAAATGCTAAATAAGTGGCACTGAAAAAGGAGACGTGTCTTTGGACCTTGCTAGCACCTCTCTGCTAGTTGAGATTTGAGCTTCAGCATGCTAACATGTTTGCAAAGACTAAGCAAACACAATGAGGTCAAACAGGTGTGATGTTTACAACGTTCAATATTTACCGTTATAGCATGCTATTTGGTAATTACCGACAAAGAAAGCTTCACTTCTCGTAGGTTTTGAGATGAAAGCATGAAAGTCATTGCTAAAGAAGTTGCACTGAAAAAGAGCTCTCCTACTTGCTAACACCTCGAGGGCAAAGACTAAGCTAACATCATGATATTTGGAAGGTAAACTAACTAAGTTCAGTTTCTTCATTTTGCTTTTGAGCATGCTTAAAAGCTTCAATGCAGCAAATGATACAGTGCTTAGCTACAGCAATTTACACAACGTCCAGCATCCAATTAAAGCATTTAAGTATGCTAACTTTGGTAATTAACGATAAACAAAGCTAGCTGAATGCCTGTCATATGTTTGTGCAGGTGGTGTGTTGTTATAAATCTAAGTATTGGACAGCTTTAGCTTGATATCGGCGCTAAATGAACAGGACTACCAGGGCTGGAGAGTCATCCTCAGGACTAGGTCTTGGAGAGACCCTAATTGTCTATTCATGCAGCACGACTCACCTGTTGACCTCCATTAACCCCCAGGTGTTAAAACCACTGCTTCCCACCCTGAGAACATCTGACTTCACTGTGTCTCATTGTCTCCCGTCCTCCAGGATCTCAGGAATTCCCAAACTAGGAATGCTGCGGGAGGGCTTGAAGCTTTTTATCAGCCACTTCCTGCTGAAGAGCATCAGGAACCAAGGAGCAGCTGAGCAAGCAGAGGAGCTGACGGAGAGAGCCAAGGTCGCATCCAGGGCCATGGAGGCCAAGGAGGTCAAGCTCAAACTGTAACACACACACACACACACACACACACACACACACACACACACACACACACACACACACACACACACACACACACACACACACACACACACACACACACACACGAAGGACTTGTGTGTCGTTTCCTTGTACATAATTCTAACCATTAATTAAAATGTGGGCTTCAGAGACGCAGCAGTCCTCACCCATTTGATTTGAACATGTTGCCTCTTGATTCAGATTTATTATCCTGCAATAAATGTTTATGTTTGACGACAATTTGAAAGCTGTTTTTTGGATATTTGATTCAACGCGTTACCCCAAACTCATTGTCCATAATGGTGCCTGTATATATGGAGTGAAAGCTTCAATAAATATCAGACCTATTCCCTAAAGCGTTGATGATTTTTGTGGAAAGGAACTAATTCCGTTGTTCTCCCGCCCTCATGGAGGCAGTACATACTAGTTACACTCTTACTCAACATAAAACCTACTTTACTGAAGACTTCCTCCGCTTTGACCACCACCGCCTGGGGCAGATGTTTGTTATTAGACTGATGAGCCCGTGGTGTTGTAGTTTATTCAGGGTTTACACTCCCTGCTGATCAGTGTCTTCCGGCATGGTTAGCATAGCAGAGCCGCTCTGTTACATTTGATACTTGCTCCTATTAATTAGCTCCATGGATCAATCTGAGGCTGGAGGTCAAGCATCGGCCACCAAACATGAGGACCACAGATGGAAATGAGCTATTAGCTATAATCTGGCATATTGCATCTCTTCTCTTTGCTGAGATTAATGTTTTTGTATGCATGGTC